GCGACCTAAGGATTGCTGCAACTCTACAGTCATCCGCTCTACCAACTGAGCTATCGACGGTTACGCCAGCTTAGTTGAGCATTCGGAACGAGTTCGATTTCTAATTTCTATTCTTGCCTATTCTCCTTGAACATACACCGTCTAGAAGAGCATAATTCCCAATCCCTGAGCAGTTTTCGTTGTCTCTTCTTTCACGTGAACGAAGCCCACCATTTTTCAAAACGCTTCGTCGAGCCGGAGTCGAACCAGCGACCTAAGGATTGCTGCAACTCTACAGTCCTCCGCTCTACCAACTGAGCTATCGACGGTTACGCCAGCTTAGTTGAGCATTCGGAACGAGTTCGATTTCTAATTTCTATTCTTGCCTATTCTCCTTGAACATACACCATCTAGAAAAGCATAATTCCCGTTCCCTGAGCAGTTTTCGTTGTTTTCGTTGTTGTTTGTTGTTTTTCTTTCACTTGAACGAAGCCCACCATTTTCAAAACGCTACGTCGAGCCGGAGTCGAACCAGCGACCTAAGGATTGCTGCAACTCCACAGTCCTCCGCTCTACCAACTGAGCTATCGACCGTCGCGCAAGCTTAGTTGAGCACTCGGAATGAGTTCGATTTTGTACTTTTATTGAACGTTATTCTCCTTGACCATACACCATGTAGAAAAGCATAATTTCCACTCCCTCAGCAGTTTTCGTTGTTTTCTCTTTCACGTCAACGAAGCCCACCATTTCGCAAAACGCTCCGTCGATCCGGATTCGAACCAGCGACCTAAGGATTACTGCAACTGTACAGTCCTCCGCTCTACCAACTGAGATATCGACGGTTGCGCCACCTTAGTTGAGCACACTAAACGAGTTCGATTTTGTACTTTTATTGAACGTTATTCTCCTTGACCATACACCATGTAGAAAAGCATAATTTCCACTCCCTCAGCAGTTTTCGTTGTTTTCTCTTTCACGTGAACGAAGCCCACTATTTTCCAAAACCCTCCGTCGATCCGGATTCGAACTAGCCACCTAAGTATTGCTGCAACTCTACAGTCCTCCGCTCTATCAACTGAGCTATCGACGGTTGCGCCAAACTGCTTGGGCAGGTTGAAACAGTTCGATTTTGTACTTTTATTGAACCCTGTTCTCCTTGACCATACACAATGTAGAAAAGCATAATTTCCGCTCCCTTAGCAGTTTTGTTGTTTTTCTTTCACATGAACGAAGCCAACCATTTTGCAAAACGGTCCGTCGAGCCGGATTCGAACCGGAGACCTAAGGATTGTTGCGGTTCTACAGTCCTCCGCTCCGCAAACTGAGCTACCTACTGTTGGCTCAATCTTCTTGAGCAGTTGTAACGTGTTCGATTTTGAATTTTTATTGTTGCTTATTCTCTTTCGCTATACACCAAGCAGGAAAATTTTTGCTTCTGGCGGTAAATGCGCCTCCACATTTCTTCCTTCCACCAGCTGCGCTATCGACGAGTGACGGAGCCTTCAGCGTTCGTACGAGGAATAGGATTTTAAATTTCTGCTGTTGAGTAATTTCCGTGACCAACCACCGTGTAGTAATATTTTCGTTCCATTAGTGATTCTTGTTAATGCTTTATCAGTAATGGTTCGTTCTAGCTTCCGTAACATCAATATGTTGAGCAACTTCCGCCGCTTTATCAGTTTTGAATTGTGCAAAGGGAAATGTTTTAAATTACCGCTGTTAAGATTTAGAATTTTATATTTAACTAACATGTCCCCAAAATTTCCGGTAGTTTTACAGAGCGGGATCTTTCGAATGCAATTTTACATATTTTTTTTTACTTTCTTTATGTTTCGTCTTCACGTTTACTATGTGGATCCCAGCATTTCTCGCACTCTATTCGTTTCCTTGAATCCATTGTCCACCAAGATCCTCCAACTTTTACGTGTGGCTTCGCTTGCTTCTTGAGGATTTTGATTTCACCTTGAATGTCGTATAATGCTGGTCGAGCAATTCTCCCTGGATTCCTGAGATTGCCGGGCTGGAGCATTCCCAATTGAACTGCAGGGAGCGATTTTACACAATGTAAAACAAAGTATTATTTTATTTGTATGCAAAACACAAGAGTTTCCACCAGTCAACGCAAAAGGTTTCCGAAGAACATTACTCTTAAATTTTAACATTTTCAGACGATTATAGCCTTAAATTTCTAACCACATCTATCAATATCTTCCACTCTTGGTGTGAGCGAGAAACTCTAGCTCATGCATATGGAGATTGTCATGGCGTTAGTCTTTCAAATATTCCACAACTGTTGCTGTGTTCTTTCGATCAGATCTTGATTATCCAAACTAATTTGGATTGCCGCGTTTTGCAAAATTTTGACGATTAGTTGTTACCCCTCCACAATAAATCATTTTAATCTCTGTAACCAAAAACGCTTTTTATTACAGCCTCTGAGTGACACCAATAATGCAGCCTTGTAAACCTCACACTGTCCTCCTTGAAAACCACTTAAAAGTAGTTTTTGACGGTATCTTAAGCAGAGGTGAGAATCGGCCCGCATATGTTAGTCACACATGAAAACGCATGTGGTTGTTGAGGAACAGCTGAATTTAGTGTAGAGCCCTAACATACACGAGTTACTTTGCTATTGTCATTGCTGGGACTCTTCATAATAAGCTTCATGCGAGCAAAGCCAGGGTGAGCACAGCTGTTTACTCTAGGCACACGAGAAGATGTCGTAAAACGAAGTTATCCAAAAGGAAGCCGGTAAGCCTTTTACACGCTAACGGCGCTCCTCGTTATCACTAGTGGACTTATTTGCGTAATATGGAGCAAAATTAGCCAATTGCTTCTAGAAAGAAGAATATCACTTACTCAAATTCATAAATTTGTAATGCCTACCAGGTACATGACTCATCCATCTTTTCGCTATGCTATCTTTGTATTCGAAAACACTGATCATTCCACATTTTCAACACTGGCACTACAGTAAGCATGTATTAAGAATACGGAATTTGAAACAATTGCTACATGACGACGTCGTTATTTCCGGAAGAGCAACTTCATCAAACTGACAACGTCCTTCTGCAACGCCGCATTTTTGTCGCTGAAAAGAGTACCCAAATCAATTATTAAACATCATCACTCCTGGTTTTCGATGAAACTCAAAACATTACAACTACACATGACGAAGTAAAAGTAGGCCTTCAAAAGAGAAGAAGAAGTTCGACAGAATGGTTTTCCACCTTTTTTGCAGGTTTCCAAAATCCCTTCTCCAGAATTTGTTTCTATTAAGGCAAACAGAAACAACAAAAAATGATACATACTAGCAAATTCAAGCTCGCTCACTGCAAGAAGCGGTAAGACAAATGTGTTAGGCCTAGAATATTTTATTAATAAGGACCCTTTTTCAATCAATACGTTGCTTTTTGAACGCTTGTTTTGAATAATTTCGGTTTCGTTCTTATCCATCTGTGTTAGGGATAAATTTTGAAGTGATGCTATCTGGTTACCAAATTATTTTTAAAGCGAATGTGAATTCTTCAGCTCCTACATCTAGTGCACTTCATACACTATGAGGAATAGGAAGCAATAGAAATAGTTCCACAAAAACTTTCTTTGAATTAGAATTTTTGACGTTAATTTATTCTCCTCACTGTAACGCTCTAGAAGAGTAGTGGGTAACGCAATAGTTAGTGATGCAGTCCACCAGGAAACTGAGGCTATAGTTATAATCACAATCTTAACCTTCTTATTTAGTGCCTATTCTTTTTAACGGCAGGATATGTTGCGAGTAGTTATATTTCGCAACATACCCTGCCGTTAAAAGAATAGGTAGTAAATAAGAAGGTTAAGATTGTAAAAAATGCTTCAGAATATGTATGGTATTTGAAAGCATTTAGAGCTTCTTCTAAGCCTTCAGATCATTCTATGGAACAAATGAGCGATAAAGAAGATGACACATGAGATAACAGCGAAGAACAGAGTTGAACGACCAACCAATTGTGGCAGAAGCATTAAAATTGGCGCAATAACTTATGTCAATGGAGTAGACCTTTTGCAAAACATTGTTTTTCCACACCCTTAATTCTCAACTCAAACAAAACGCAGCTCGAAGATGTTAGAACGTTCAAGTGAAAAAAAACGTTAGGATTGAAGTGAGCATAAGTAGGACAGCTCATCTTCAGCGCCAATTTTCATAATGTTCTCCTCGTTACCTCTTAATTATGCGTTTCAAAAGCTGTTATTGGCACAATAAGGTTACGGTAACCATTAATGTTACAATAATCCCCTTCACATAAAATGATAATCATTGGCATACGAATGACCTGAAGGAATTAGGTAAACACACCTCTCGAAAATCCATTTACTGAAGCGTTCAAACTCCTTCTGCTCGAATTCGTTCGGATGCTGTTGCTTCCAGTCTGTGATATGATAGTTACTTTGCCAATACTGCCTGTCCTTAGTGAGCGGCGGATTTTTCGAAGGTGATGCCGCTTTATTCGGCCTGGGCGATTTCATACCAATAAACGCCTCTAAAGGGTACCAATGTAGAATGCAAGCAAATATTTCAAAACGGGAGCTTCACGTCTATACTTTGCTCACGATGAGAATTAGTTCGTAAACAAAACTTTCCTCCATTCCGTTTCCTATTTCCTTAACTTTTTACGTTTTTACGACTTCACCTTCTCAGCTCCACGATGCCTTTGTGTTATCTTTCTCACTGTAACACACCACTGTTCACCAACCATGGATCTCCTTCACAGTGGGATTTTAAGTCCGACATTTGCGAGACAAAGTGGCGCGCTATTTTGTTCTATTTCTCCTAAGTTAGACTAGCGTATAATTTCTTGTGTACATAAAGAAATTCATGCATGTGTGCGTGCTTGCTTCCATATATACGGGTTCTGTCAAGCACGATAATTCAACCAATAATCTGTATTCAAGTGGCCAACTGACCAGAAAGCTCCGAGGAGGTCGCTAGGTGTCTTCTCCAACTTCTCGTCGTCATTCTGGGAAGGCAATCTTCTTTTTATTATATCCAATACTTAGATGCGGCTCCAAAAGATTCTCGATACGATGGCTCAAGGTGACACTAATACGGGAAAGTTAGCAAAAGTTCAGTGCCATTTAAAGATGCCTCAATCCGAAAGGACTACTGTGATAATCCTTACTTCTGGAGCATTCACGAGGAGCATTCACGAAGGCACTGATATAACATTCGTGGATGTTGGATGGAAGGAAACAAGTCGAATAGAATAAGTACTGGGATCACTACAATATCATATATGATGTCGAGTCATGTAAAAAAAATTAGGTATTAGTCAAGTAACGTATCTTTGAAAAAAAGACGAAGAACATGCGATGAATGCAGTTTCGTTGTCTTAGGTCCCATGTATACGATAGCCGCCTGCCGATTTTTATAAACATGTTGTTTCATTCACGCTTGGTTCATTCCCCAATTCTCGCACTCCTTTCGCCAGCGTCTGCTTCAGCGTCCTCAAGTAGCTATTCAGTACCCTATCTTAGAGCCTCCGCATCTTCATTGCCTTACATATCGCTGAATTTCTGGCCCAAATGTTGTATCGTGCCACTGCTAGCAACTTCAACTGTTTCGCTGATATCTACGAGCGATTGAGGCTGCTACCTTTCTAAGTTTGAATTCGTACAAAAACGTTTCTGAAGTTCCCTCACCGCTTAGCGCTTTAGAATGGTTCATAATACGAACAAGAAAGTATAAATCTTTTAAAAGGAAACGTTTGGTTTCAAACAGAGCATTCTGTGCAAATTTACGGTCAACTATGTCTTTCTTCTAATTGATTGTGGCCTATAGCTACCTCGAGAAGAATTGCGATTTCTGAAGCTAACGATCTAAGTGAATCTAAATGTTCGTTCGACTAACGACACAAATTGCGGCCATCCTAAAGGTCCTATTCATGGGACAGAAAGCGTACCTTCGATTCAGAAGATTTCCGACGGCCTGTGGCGAGGATCTGGAAACGTGCTAGCAAGACTAACCCGAAATCAGACAAAAAGTGGTGTTCGATCAGCATTCAATATTTCAATGGAAAAGGAACTCCAAAGATCCTGGAATCCTTCGGTCATGGGTGAAAGCCACATGAACTCGAACACCTCTATGGTGAGGGTACAACGAAGACAGTGAAACGAATGGAGGACGCACCGAGGTCCTAATGTTATTTGAAGACGAGCTGTACCTTTACCTATGTGAATGTATGATTATTGCCCAAATATTTCGTATACGAAGTGTTCTGACTTCTCATTAATAAAAAAGGAAAATTAGATACGCAGGATTCAGAAAAATAAATTTGAAGGAAAAAAATGGCTCATAATACCACAAAGAATGAGTCGAATTGAAATAGAAACCATAACGGGAGAATATGCCAAAAGACATCAAACAATCACCATTGTCCTCTTCTTCATCGTTTTGTCCTGAAGACGGTGTGAGTGTTCGCCGCCTAGAGCCAAACACGAATTTATCGCCGGCGCTCCGTGACCGTCGCATTTCTCCTAAATCTTCCACATAAAAAAGACGTCTCCAAGTGTTTTGTAAGTGAACCCACAAGACTGTAAACGAAACAGAAGCGAAACTGTGAACAATTACGCTCACGAAAGAGATTTCGTACGAAAACATCCCAAAATACGTGCATAGGCAATGGAGACGGACAAGAAATTCAACCAGATCGAGAAATTCCACTGTTGTGTTCAGTTGTGCAAATGTTCAGCTTTCCTGATTGATTTCTAGATCATATCCTTTGCTCACAGTTCTTTGAAGCAAACATGGATCCGTGGTTTGTCAAATGAAAACATAGACGTCTGATGTCAGCGTATTTCGTGGTCATGAACGACGAAACTATTATGAAAGCGCAACATTGACAAATACATGGAACACATATGTTTATTACCTAAGAGGTTACCAAAAAGCCGAAAGTAACAACGGTGTCGAATCGTGGACCGAAAGACAAGCCAGTCTCTGTAACTTTTCGAAAATCCGATATGTTGAAAAAAGTGCAGTGATATTTGTGGACGTTTTTGCCCGGTCTGGTCAGAGTCAGCCCAAATCACACGGAAAGTTTGGTACCATATCATCCAAAACACAAAGTCGTGAAAATCCAAACAATTCCCGAAGAAATCTTGTCAAATCGACTGCTAGTAGAATGTGAAATGATTGCTTTAGGCCTTGGTCCTCGGAAGATGGACAGTACAGTGATAGAATGCTTTTTTTTCGAAAACCTTTGAATTTAAAACATTCGCTACGATGCGAGTCGTATATGATTCAGACGTGAACAAAAGTTATTATAACTCGTATGAAATGCTGAGATATTTGCAAAACTCCGTACTACAGGTGTATGCAGTGGAGAACGAACACGCGCTGTTGACCTTACCGGGAGCAGCGCATTTCACCACAACACCATCCGGGTTCTTCGCCTTGCATGTCTCTCAGCTAGTTCTATCGATCTTTTTGCCATCAGCAATCACCCGTCAACCGGATTGATCTCGATCTTTTGCTGATGGCAAAAAGACCGTTAGAACTAGCTGAGAGACAGGCAAGGCGAAGAACCCGGATGGTGTTGTGGTGAAATGCGCTGCTCCCGGTAAGGACAACAGCGCGTGTTCGTTCCCCACTGCATACACCTGCAGTCCGTAGTTTTGCAAATATCTCAGCATTTCATACGAGTTATATTTCGCAACATACCTTACCATTAAGAAGAAAAAGGCAGCAAATAAAAGAGTTAAAAATTATTATGTCTCCCACCATTAAGTCAGGATATGGCAGCTCATATGGACTGACTTTTTTGTTTGGGATAAAATCATTAGACTCTTAAAAGTCTGGAGTGGGAAGGACTAGATGATCTCTCCCAATGTACACTAAATATTTGCTCTCGTTCGCTTTAAAATTTTAAAATTTGGACTTTCCAGATAAGGAAAGTTCAGATAAAAGCAATATTTTGTAGAGACTACGTGTGCACGTAAAGCGATAGAATAAAGAGATTCTATAAGCTTGCAAGGCCATCAAGTTCTCAAGCACTCCAGTTATTGGAAAATTATGGCCAGTTGTTGAGAAATGAGCATCGTCGCAAAGGTGTTATGATGACTGAATCGAAGTATTTGAACCATCTGAACTTCCAGAAGCCTTCTAGAATTCTCTAAAAGCTTAAATTTGCACTCGATGCTCTCCTTTCACTAGACACATGGGCACCAACGAAGTTTTGCAAAATTATTTTTTTATCGGAACCATCAGGATATTGAAAAAAAATATTGAAAAAATGGAATATCACATATAATTAGCGTACTCGTCACTTATAAAATAACGTAAGAAATGGACTCTTCAAACCAACTACAGCTGTTATTATATGTAAACAAAAAGCCCTATGTAAATATCCAACGTAAATCCAGACAATATGTATTCTTTCTTTGATGAGCTTACACGCGGTTGATAATGATATTTATTTTCGGCTAACGTTTCGACGTCTTCGTCTTCCTCAGAGCCGATGATCCGAGTCGATGGTCCTCGCTTGTTATTCGTCTCGACGTGGCAGCTTCGCCTTCGTGTCGAGTCAGGTCTTCTTCAGTGAGCCATCTCCTCGAATGAGGCATCCTTACTCGGTGATGCCCTTTTATACACGATGCTAATGGTGGATATAATGATAATGTCCGGTGATAACAACTTGTTTTTCTTCCGGACATTATCATCGCGCACATCGTGCAGAAGTATCATCGTGTACAACGTCTAAACGTTAGCCGAAAATAAACATCATTATCAACCTCGTGTAAGCTTATCAAAGAAAGAATACATATTGATTACTGATACCGAGGTTCAAGGAAAGTCGGTTTCGAAATAAATCCAGACAGTTATTGCAGTTCGTTGCAAAATCAAGTCTATGCTTTCCTTCCTTCAGTTCTATTAGACGTGATCGTCATTGATCCACATAAACGCGAACTTACAGTGTAGAGAGGACAACACGGGAACTAAGAACTCGTCAACTCAGAACATCTGAATGTGATCAAAATTTTTAGCAGGAACGATGATACTTCGATAGAAGTTTTCGCTCCGGAAGTGGATCTGACGATATGCATAGAATATTAAACGTTGATTGGACAATCACATTCAGCGTCCGATAAGATAACACTTTCTTTGTCGAGAGGACCAGTTCCTACAAGGAAAATTCCCGAATTTCCACAAAGTAATGCACTATCCTTCTAGTCAAACTTTTCACAAAGAGCTGGTGCTTACCAAGTGTCCAATGAAAAACGACAGAGAAAAGTCCTTATTTCCCTAATAAGAAGGAACCTTACAAGATCAAGATCACCTTTTTGCACGAAGTAGCGACATTCTTCAACTCGAAATACTCGCATAGGAAGTGTTTAAGATTCGTTGTATCCCTCAATGTGGAAAACCCATCAATGCAGTAAGCAATGCGAAGAAAGGGCTGAAAGATCGATTTTTCGCCGACAAAATGCAGGATTCTAAAGGTGTTATACATCAAACAGCTGCATTCGCAGCTGCAAACGATACCTGGATCAGGGCAGAATATAGCAGCAGATGTTACCATGTTTGAAAAAAACCAGCTCCTGGACGATGATTGTTAGAAAACGAAAGGAATGGAAAATGTAAGAAGGCCGGCACCATTCATGTGAACGGACAATCTAACTATCTTCGATTGCATGTTAACGTATCATTAGGCACATATGACATGAACTTCACTTTGTTAAGACTGCAGTAGTCTTCAACATGGGATCTGAAAGAAATCCGTCAAAAAGTACCAATTTCGGTGTAGTACATTTCATCGTTAGAAAGAAATGCAGAAAGCAGGAACACCAGCGATTAGTGCAAGAAGTTTAATGGCTAAAGTCCTCACGACTACATAGGAATATGTATTCCCCAAAAAATCAAAATGCACTAAAGTCGACCAACAAACAGGAAAATAATGAAATAGACGGGGAAACATTCGTTGATACCAGCTGGAAACCGGCAACAAAAAATCACCACCTCAACCTTTGTGAAGAACTAATGGGAATGCCCGACACCATAGGAATGAGCAACAAAGACGTGTAGAAACAATAAATAAGACAATGAAGAAAACAAGTACAAAAAAGCACATGGTGCGCTTGGAATCCAGCTGCTATAAAGGATTATGGCAATTACTACTGCAGGCGCCGATGTTGCAGTGACAGTGATAGCAATGAGAATGAGACAGTGGGATAAAGCAAAGGCCCCGGCAACATCTAATTCGTTTTTCAAAATATCATGGGGAAAGTATAAGAATCCGAGTTGTTTTGAGGTCTAACAAAAAGTTTGCACGTGGATAAAAATGCGAAAATATAAAGTTCATTTTAAATGGATCAACACTAATATGTTATGAATTTTTATAAGACGTGAAATAAAATGGAAGGAATGTTCCGATACTCTAGTGCTATGCATCATCAAACAATCTAAGAGCATACCCGAATTCTGAAGCACATCGAAACACATCTCATCTCTTTTTATGAAATTCTATGGCAGCGTTTTGCCTCACACTAGGATAGAATGAACATGAAGTCACTAGGAAGCACTGACAAGTGACATAGCTAGTCAAATGGAAATCATTCGTGGAAGAACAACCTCCGTTACTGAAACCTACGCAGATCGATAGTGTCCTCACTAGAAACCATGGATGGAACTACCAACGGTGGCTGCGAAAGAGAAAATCTCCTCAGCAACCGAGCAACCACCACCTCCCACAATTGCGATGCCCTTTATTTCCGAGACGCCCGTTGGGACTCGTAAAGGGAGAAGAGCTAGGAGGCTGACAACTATCGAACACACTTTTATAATCCCAGCCGCCACTCATAAAATATGATGCTTGGTGTGCCCTGGTCCGACGAATACTTTGCGCACATCGGCTCAAAACACGATGATGAAACGAGCCTATTTTGATACGACACATTTGATTTTCGAGAAAGAAGCCTAGTTAATGAGTGCATCGACGACTCAAAACATATCGACTACACCGACACTTAAGCAGGTCCATCAAGAGAAGAAAACCCTGAAATTTTAAAGGTATGAAAACAAAAACCAACTGCTTGCAGGGCGTTTACAATGTGAGCAAAACCCATTCCCAATGAAAAAAGCATTTAGCTTGAATCACTGTATAGAAAGACCATAGTTAAGAAAGGACAGTGCTTAAATATCCCAGAAGCTTTACCAGAATATACCATAAATGCACTTGGCAAATTATGAAACATTGCATTGTCACCATGAAAAGAAGTTGTACTGGATAGCAATGGATCGTCATACATGGAAGGGCAGTGCCGAGTAAGGTTGCTTCGCCTCCTCTCCATTGTATTCGACCCGACGCGACCATGAACACTCACATCGCCAAAATGAACGGTTGTGGTGAACACTCGACTCGGATCACCGACGCTCTGGAGAGGGCGAAGGAGAGAGAGCCGAAACCTTAACCAGAATAATCTTAGGTAACAACTTCGTGTAAAATTGTGAATACAACGGAATAAACACCACTC